GAATGGAACCACCATTTGACCCAGCTATTCCTCTCCTTGGTCTATACCCAAAGGACTTAAAAACAGCATACTACAGGGACACAGCCACATCAATGTTTATAGCAGCACAATTCACAATAGCTAAACTGTGGAACCAACCTAGATACCCTTCAATAGATGAATGGATAAAAAGTATGTGGCCTATATACACAATGGAATATTACTCAGCAACAGAATAGAATAAAATCATGGCATTTGCAGGTAAATGGATGGAGTTAGAGAAGATAATTCTAAGTGAATTTAGCCAATCCCCAAAAAACCAAATGCTGAATATTTTCTTTGATATAGGGAGACTGATTCATAGTGGGATAGGGAGAGGCACATGGGAGGAACAGACAGACTCTAGATAGGGCAGAGGGGTTGGAGGGGAAGGTCAGGGTCATAGGGTTATAAATGATGGTGAATGTGATGGACATTATTATCCAACATACATGTATGAAGACACGGATTGATGTGAATATATTTTGTATACAACCAGAGATATGAAAATCTGTGCTCTATATATGTAATAAGAATTGTAATGCATTCCACTGTCATATATAAATAATAAAAAAGGAATAAACCGAGCTGGGTTTGTGGCTCAGTAGCAGAGTGCTCACTTACCATGTGTGAGGCACTGTGTTCGATCTTCAGCACCACATTAAAATAAAGATATTGTGTCCACATATAACTAAAAAATAAATATATTTTTTTTAAAAAAAGAAGAGTCTCAAATTCATGACTTCAGAAAATTGTGTCCTTTAGCTGCTTCTGGTAGTGCTTTCCYCCAATCCACTGTGTGACAACTTTCAGTGTCACTCTGCTGGCTCTGCCTCTTTGGCCATTTCTTAGTCTCCTGAATGAGCATTTTATTCCCATACCACTCTTCAGTACCTGTGGCCTCTGGACTCTTATTTGATGTTTGCCCCTCCTGGGCCAGTCCATCACTTCTGTGGCTTGCTGTTTCCTGCATGCTGGGCTCACCCACCTTCACTCTTCCAGAAGTCCTCTTACCTCCTTCAGATCCATGGGTGTCAGGACCCCTCTGCCACATGCACTGCTGGTTCCTTGCACACAGTAGGATCACACCAATCTCTCCTGTCTGTCACCATATTCATTCCTATAGTATGTATGTTCTCTCCTTACTGTGTTCTCCAGCCCTGAGAACTCCTCTGTCCTGGGCAGCCAGACTGGATTCTGTTTTCAAAATGCACTGTGTGTGTTTTACTAACACACTCAGTAGATTCAGCTTAACAATTCATAAGCTTTTCACTTAGAAGAGTTTGCACTGAGTTTTTACCTTGGAATAATTCAAGAAACCACTTTGGCTTGAACCATCCCTTACGACCCAGTGGACTCTTGACTAGTCACAGAGCTAACCCGATAGCATCGTGCCTAGGAAACAGTATTGTTTGACTGGGAATCCTTTAACTACATCCTCATAATTTTATACAGCTTATAAAGCAAGGCATATTCTACTCTGTTTTCCATGGGGTCCTCTATTGGTTGTTTCACATGCTTCAATATTTAACCACTAATCCATTAAATGAGGATTTGTGGAAAACTGCAAAGAAAATGGCTGAGTGGAGCCCCAAACAAAACCATACAGAATAATGTAGAAGCAGAAGCAGTACCATGCAAGAAGAAAGGGCTGCAGTGAAGCACCATATTGATGTAGTGTGACAGGGGACGGTTTTGTTACTGGGAACATTAAAGAGAAGTGTCTAGGAAATTATAGAGATCTGCAGTAGCAGCAGGGGGGCCCAGATACATGCACCTTATAAGTTTAGTGAAAACATTTGCATCCCATTGTACATTGCTTTTGCTGGTRTTACTTCTTAAAAATATCAGTTTGAATTTTTTTCTATTTTGTATTGCTTGATAAATTCACCCATTCCACAACTCTAGTAGCGATCAAATACCTCCACTCAGTGCTGTGTAATTTTGCTGTGGATGTATTCCTTGGATCTCTTTAGTCCTTGGGTTTTGTTTTTTTTTCATTTATCTACCCAGTTTTTCTTTAAATGCCCCACCATTTCTAAAGCAGCAAAACTTCATAGTTATTATATTCCAAACAGACCCAGAATTACAAGGGGTACAAAGATCTATGTTTTCCTGGGCCATTTCCATGAAACAGTATTAACAATTACATTTCATGACCCAGTTGGGCATAAAGATAACTATCTTAATATTGTGTTTTAAATAAGTTTCTCTGACCCAAAAGTTCATTTTTTTTTTTACTTTTGATTTTAGAGGAAATTAGAACATTTTCATGAGTACCTTAAAGTATTATTTTTCAAGCAGATATCTGGAGTATGAATGCTGTAGATAAACACAAAGTTCAAGGTCATGGTCAACATCTGACCATGGTGCCTACCCCACAGGCAGGCAGAGGAAGCAGAGGGCACTTGTTCAGGACTCTGGGCAGCCTCTGATGCTGACCGGGGAGGAAAGACTGTGCTTTCCAGCCCTGAGGACTCTCTCCTTCAAATCAATGGCAAGAACTTTAGTGAGATGCTTTAAAAACCCAATGTACCTTTAAAATGGTGAATACTGTTAGTCACATTGTTTAATGTTTACTCACATTCAGTCTTTTTACACCTGAAACTGGAAGCTAAGGTTGGAATTAGATATGTTAGCTTGTTTTTCTTTCCTCCTAAGATGGTTTTTTTTTTTTACATGTAAGAATTATTAGTTCAACATGAAAGAAAAAAACCTTGACTGTTTCAAACTCATGGTGAAGCATCTGTATTTTTCCTTGGTTTTTGTGTTGGGCTTCAGGACCCTCTACCTAAGGTTCCCAGAGGTCCTGATGTTCCCTACAATCTCTGGTCTTGACCCTCCAMGGATCCTGATGTGGGGAGCTTCCGCCAGTGCAGAGAAAAGGGCATTTCCACCCATTTCCCCTTTTATCTTTCCAGGGCCTGGACTTCGCCAGATTCACGGCACACATGTTTGTTGGGATTTGCCTTGTTCTTCTGGTCTCATTCCCACTCCTCAGACTGCTGTACTGGAACAAAAAGCTTTATAACAAGGAGCCCAGTGAGATCGTTGGTAGGTATAAGCCTCAGAGTTCATATGATCATTTTTCCCAGGGGAAATTCTTACAAAGAGGTCAGAGCTGCCACCCCATGTAAAACATGAGGGAAGTGTCTCTTGTTGGGACCCTGTGTGCTCAAGATCAGAGACTGTGCATATCTGCCTCCCGGAATGCCGTGTGCTCCCTTCTCCTGCGCAAAATCTCTCTCAGCTAAATCACTTCAGAATTCCTGTTTAATTCCACAGTTGGAAAACAAAAGTGCTACCTGAACATCGATGATGGGCTGAGCAGAATAGGGCCGGTAGAGCTTTGGATTTGATGGGTTGGAAAGCAGGTAGGCTCTGAGCGTGCATGCATGGGGTTGAGGCTGCTTTTGGAGGACACACCTGCATAAGAGAGCGCAGGGGACCTAGAAGCCCAGCATCACCAATGCAACGCTGGCTCCCAGTCTCTGCTTCTCCAAATACAAAGACATGGATGAAACTCCCAGCCTGCATCCATGGGCTGCCTCCAGAGTGAAACCATGTAGACATGCAAGCTTTTCAAAGCTGATTAGTGGCTTCAGAAAGTACCCTTCACTGTGATGACTTTAAAGAGCTGCTGGAATGTCTCTGACGTTTATGGACGGGTTTTTAATGATACCTTTCCTCTGATGAGGTTCAGAGCATTAGATGAAACCCAGGCCCCATCTGAACTTATGCTGAAGCCATTCCACAGCCCCGTCTCTCCTTTCCTATCCCAATGTGGAGTTTCGTGTTCAAAGTTTCGGGAAGGCTSGTTCATTGCTTTCTCTTCCTCCTATTCTTCCCCATCTTTTTATGTTATCAAAACCTCATAGGAGGTTTGATGAGGTGTGAGGCTTTTCAGAGGGAAAGCATGGATCCCCTTCTCTGAAGAAGCCTTTGAATTACACCCAAGTTCATTTTAGTTTAGAAAGCTGTGGTGCATCTTTGTAAGGCTGAAACTCAAAACCGAGCGCTGGCTGATGTTGTCTCAGTGCTCCCGTTCTCCCTGGGTCTCTCTATGGAGTCTTGGCAGCCTTTATTTATAGTCTGTTTCTCTGACAAACGTCTCTGTTTTCTCAGCAGTGCAGCAGGTCTGCCACACGGTAGGTGATCAGCACTTGTGTACCAAATAGAGGGGGCGTAAAAGGTAGCGTTTTCTTTATTGGTTGAGTTCACAGTGATTGTACTGCTGTGTCTTGCCTCCACCTGGAGTAGGCTGTCAGGTGCTCCAGCCCCTGCTTAAAAGGATTTGGTCTTTTAATTTAATTCTTGTGACGTATATTGTATGGTGCATTGCACATAATGTAGTTTGGATCTGGAATTATCCCCTGAGGTCCCTGTGTTGAAGACATGGTCCCTAGGGAGGCACTATTGGGACGGAGTGGAACCTTTAGGAGGTGGGACTAGCTGGAGAGAGTCAGGTCCCTGGGGACATGCCCTTGAAGTGGATATTGGGATCTGCACGTCTTCCACTATCTGTCTGCTTCCTGGCTGCCATGAGGTGAGCAGCTTCCTCTACCATACACTCCTGCTGTGATGTGCTGCTTCACTCTGTACCCCAAAGCAGTGCCAATTGACTATAGACTGAAACCTCTCAAACTTTGAGTCAAAATAAACCTTTTCTCCTTTTAAGTTATTAATCTCAGCTATTTTGTTTTAGTGACAGAAAATTGACAGAGTGGTGAATGAAAACAGTGGCTTTTTCTTATTCTCTTAGTGATTATTTTGAGAATTTTTTACAGCGTTTTAAATTGTAAAATAGAGGTAAGCTTTCATGAAGTTCTTTCATATCTTAGGCAATGAATCATCTCTCTTTACTCTTCTCTCTCAGAAGCTTCTGAATTCAGTTTTGGATGAAAATTCTGCTCATTCTATTGATGTCAGCGTTTCATCAGGCTACTTCTCCCCTTCCTGGGTAACAGACTTGAGCTCCGTGAGGGACTGGTTGGGAGTGAGGGCTTTTCCCAACTCCTGACTCTTCCCAAATGTCCTCCTGGCCCTGAAAGCCACTGCCCGAGAACAACCCTTGTGCTTCTGATTTTCACTAGACCTGTTTCTGAAGTCAGTCAAAGAGTGGGCACTTGGCTTTGTTCATTTTCTGTTACTGTTACTGAATACTACAGACTGGACAAGCTCTAAGGCACAGAGTTGTTGTTAGCTTATTGTCCAGGAGGCTGGGAAGTCTGAAGCACAACCTGACATCTGGTGAAGGCCTTCTCGCCGTGTCATCACATGGCAGAGGGCATCGCCTGGTGCATGAATTTTGGAGGAGACAAACCACATTCAAATCAGAACAGCAATGTGTAGGTTTTGGCTAAAAGTGAGACCTGCAAGAGGAGGTTAGGGTTGCTGGGCATTAGGTTTGATGTGTCTGTTCAAGACAGGAATTTATTTGTCACCAGAGAGTTGAAATTGCTCTACTTCACTTCCATGGTCATTTTAAAAAGTCAGCTTTGTCACCTGGTTTCATTATAGTAACTAATGTGCTGAGAAGCTTCTGTTTTGGGCTGAGCCTGGGAAACCTGAACATGGTGAGTGTGTTGTGAGCACTGACATCCCAGGTCGTGGGGAACTCAATTTTGCCTTACTTTCTCTGCAGAACTGAAGCACGAGATTCACGTGTGGCGCCTGACAGCGCAGCGCATCAGCCCAGCCAGCCGTGAGGAGACGGCCGTGCGTGGCCTGCTGCTGCGGAAGGTGCTGGCACTGGAGCACCTGCTGGCCCGAAGGCTGCACACCTTCAATAGGTATCAAATTGGGTCCTGCTCAGATTTATAGAAGCAGTTCTTGGTTTAATGGTGGGATTGTATGAGCAACATACTCCGCTACCATCCAAACAGTGTCCAAATGTCACATAAAATGCAAATCAAGTGAATTAAAATTGTTACTCCAAACATTTGTAGCATTATAAACCGGTGACACTAACTGAGCCAATATGCAACTTTTAGGCGCCATTCATTGAGCTAAGCCTTTTATGGTGCACAACTTTATCTAATTCCCACCTAGCTCTGTGGGGTTATTGTTAGCTCAGTTTAGGGATGAAAGAAGCAGAGGCTCAGAGAATTTGGGCAACTTACCTATGGTTATGTAGCTCAGAAAGAGTGACACTGGGAATTGAATTTACACTCTCAGCCACATTTTATAATTTCCCCACATTTTAATTTTTGTATGATAAGAATCAAAACCAATTAATGTAACAAACTAATCTTACAACAGATTCTCTCAGCAGTTGATTTTCAAGCACTTCAAAGAATACAAATATCCTAATCAATTCATTTCTTGGTATTTCTTAGAATTATTTATTTATATTTTTATTTTTAGTGCATTATAATTATACATAATAGTGGGGTTCATCTTGACATATTCATAAATGCATATAACATAGTTTTCTCCATTTCAATCCCCAGAATTATCCTTCCTCTCTTCTTTATTCTATTGGTCTTCCTTCTATTTATGTTTTAATTGGTGCATTATAATTATATATAAAATTGCAATGCATGATGATATATTCATATGTATTCATGACATATTTTGATCAACTTTATTCTGCTTTGAAATGATCAGACCCCCACCACTCAATACTTTCTGTCAGCCAACGAAGAGGCAGAGCTCAGCCTATAAACTACTCTAACAAGTTGGGCTGGTTTGGGTCAGAGCTCAGAACAAATAAATAGTATAATAATTGTGTCATATACACTCCTCATATTCAAAATTATGGAAAGAAATGTCTTCATTTTAAAAGTCTCAGCAAGAAGAAAACTGAATTTTAAAATATATTGTGATTGCATTAGCTGCTGTAGATAGTAATTTTTTAAATATATATTTCAATTGTTGACATTTATTTATTTATTTATATGTGGTGCTGAGAATTGAACCCAGTGCCTCCCATATGTTAGGCAAGCACTCTACCACTGAGCTACAACCCCAGCCCTGTATGTAGTAATTTCCAGTGTCTTCCCTCATGTGTTTTTTCAGAGTTCTAATTTTACACTTTTTTTTGTCAATTAATTGGATCCTTCCTCAATAACTTATTCTTTTTCTTCTTCATTCCCTTCCATTCTCCTCTATCCTTCTTTCTCATCTCATTTTATCTTCTGTCTCTCTTCCCTCCCCCCCCATTTTTTCTGTTTTCTATTTCCTTTATCTTTTTTTTTTGCCTGCTTCCAACATAACTTACTATAAAGGATGCTATCATTGATGCTTAACCTTCTAGCCTATTCTTTATTATTTCTCATTCACTTTTCTCATTGATTAGTAGAGTTGTGCAGATGATTAGTAATAAGTTTTCAAATATATGCTATTAAGTTATCATTATGACTGGCTGTTGCTTTATCCTCTTGAAGTAGTACTTGGTATTGAACTTAGCACCTTGATTATGCCAATTGGATGTTTTGAAAATAATATAAACTCCCAGCTCAGGGTAGATTGTAAAGAAGTAACTGCTCACTTACATAATAGAAAAAGAGGAATCTATGACAATGGATGTACATACAAAAAATTTTTTTGAAAACACAAAGAAATAAACCCATGTCTCCAAAAATTTTTAACCCCCCAAACTACAGATTGAAATGGATGAAATCTTGAACAAAGCATTCAAAAAATTGATTATTAAAATGATTAATGATTTAAACAAGATCTAAGGAATTAATTAAGGGAGAAAATATAGGCTGTGAAAAAGTATTTTAATAAAGAGATAGAGGTCCTGAGAAAGAAGCAAACAAAAGTCCTGGAAATGAAAGATACAATAAATCAAATGAAAAATTCAGTTGAAAAAATTTCTAGATTCGATTAGACCAAAATAAAGCAGAATTTCAGAGCTTGAAGGCAAGATGGTCAGCCTTGAACATTTAGACAATATTAAAGAAAAAAAAGGAAAGAAAACTGTGATCAGAATAGACAAGATATCTGGGTCAATATGGAGAGACCAAACTAAAGACTCATAGACTTTGAGAAAGAAGTAGAAATACAGGTTAATAATACTGAAATAATAGCAAAAATTTTCCAAACCTTAGGAAGAAGATGGACATCTAAAAATTGTAGGCATTTAAAACCTCAGACAAGATCAGAAAAGAACCTCTCCATGATACATTATCATAAAATGCCAATACTGCAAATCAAAGAAAGGATTTTAAAGGCTATAGGAGAGAGATGACAGGTCAAATTTAGAGGAAAAAGAATCAAAGTAATACAAGATTTYTCAGTATAAACCCTAAAGTTCAAGAGGACTTGGAATGATACATTTCAAGCACTGAAAATCAGTAACTCCCAACTAAGATTGCTATATCTATTAAAGCTATTCTTCAAAATCAAATAAGAAATAAAACCTTCCAGTGTGCGTGTAAACTAAAGGAATTCATGACTACTAAGCCAGCATTGCAGAAGATACTTAAAGAAATCCTATATACAGAAATGTAAGATAATAACAACAAAGAAAGCTTGGAAAAGAATAAATCTAATTAAAAGAGTATATAAGCAGATTAAAATTATGATTTAATAAAATATTAGAAATAAATCAAGGTAGCAGGCAATAATAAACACCTCTCTATAATAACACTGAAGTTAATGGTCTTGATACTATCACTAAAAGATATGTACTGTAGAGTGGATTAAAAAACAAGATCCAACAATATGTTGTCTGTAAGAGACAAACTCATAGGAAAAACACCCACAGGTTGCAAATGAAAAGATGAAAAATGATATTCTATGCAAATGGAACCTCAAAGGAAAGCAGGAGTATGTACTCTCATATCCAACAAAACAGACTTCAAGCCAAAATGAGTTCCAGAGGACGAAGAAGGTCACAACATACTGCTAGAGGGAATGATACAACATGGAGACATAAAGATAGCAAATATTCATGATCCAAACTTCAGTACATCTAACTACATAAAAAAAAAACACTACTAAACATAAAGTCTCAGATAGATCCCAATACAATTATACTGGGTGATTTCAATACTCCTCTCTCACCAGTAGATAGGTCATCCAGTTATAAAATCAGCAACAATACTTCAGATCTAAAACATGCTATAAATCAAAAGGACTTAACAGACATCTACAGAATATTTCATCCAACAATAGGTGAATATACTATCTTCTTAGCTGCTTGTGGATCATATTTTAGGTTACAAAACAAATCTTAGCAAATGCGAAAAGTCAGTATAACTCCTTGAATTTTATTAGATCATAATGGAATAAAACTAGAAATGAAGAAAAACAAGAAAATTAGAAAGCAAGAAAAATTACGGAAACTATATTAGTGCACAGAGATTGAACAATACACTTTTTAATAATGAATGGGTCAGCAAAGCAATCAGGRAAGAAATGTAAAAATTCTTAGAATAAAATGAGAATAAAGAAAAAAAAATGAGAATAAAGATACAACATATCAGAATCTCCTGGATGCCGTGAATGCAGTTATAAGAGGAAAGTTTATAGCTATGAGTGCCTAGATTAAAAAAAGAAAAGAAAAGAAAAAGATCCCCAATAAATAACCCAATGATGCACCTCTAACACATAGAAAAACAAGGAAAAAATGAATTCCAAAACTGTTGGAAGGGAGGAAACAATAAATATCAAAGCCAAAGTTAGTGAAGTAAACAAAAAACAATACAAAGAATCAATGAATGATGAGTTGATTCTTTGAAAAGATAAACAAGATTGATAAGACTTTAGTCAAACTAACCAAAAGAAAAGGGAAAAAGGAGAGATMACAACAGAAATCTATGAAATCCAAAGGACACTAGGGACTATTTTGAAAACTTATATTCCAACAAATTGGAAAATCTGGAAGATATTGATAAATTTCTAGACACCTATTAGCTACCGAAACTGAACAAAGAGGACACAGAAAACCTAAAGAGATGGATAACCCATAATACAGTTAAAACAGTAATAAAAACCATTCCAATAAAAAAAATCCCAGGTCCAGGTGGATTCACAGCTGAATTCAATGGGCAAATGAACTAAAGAGATGTTTCTCAAAACAAGTAGTACAAATGGCTAACAAATTCATGAAAAAATGTTCAACATCTCAAGCAATTAGGGAAATGCAAATCAAAACTACACTGAGATTTCATCTCACTCCAGTCAGAATGGCTGGAATCAGGAATACTAATAATATACAAATAATAATAAACACTAGTGAGAATGTGGGTAAAAGAATGCTTATACACTGTTGGTGGGATTGTCAATTAGTATAACCACTGTGGAAATCAGTTGGAGGTTCCTCAAAAGAGTAGGAATGGAACCACTGCATGACACTGCTATCCCCCTCCTTGGTCTTTATCTAAAATAATTAAAGTCAGCAAACTATAGTGTTACATGCACACACATGTTCATAGCAGTACAATTCACAGTAGCCAAGTTATGGAACTAGCCTAGGTGTCTGTCAATGGATGAATGATAAAGAAAATGTGGCATATATACACCATTTGTTTAGCTATAAAGAGTAATGAAATTATGTTATTTGCAAGAAAATGAATGGATGCTTCAGAGCATTATCTTAAGTAAAATAAGCCAGACTCAGAATATTAAGGGCCATGTATTTTCTCTCTTATGTGGAAGCTAGACAAGAAAGAGGGGGGGGGGAAAGGGTTTCATGAAAATAGAAGGAAGACCAAGTAGACTAGAAGAAGGGACTTAGGGAGAAGGCTGGGGAACTGGCAAATGAAATTGACCAAATCATTATTTATATATATATTAGGTCATAATGAATCCTACTAATGTGCATAGTTATTATGCACCAATGAAAATATTTCAAAGCTTTTCTCAGAATAATTCACTTGGTTCTGCTTTGGTTTCCCTGCGGACCCTACTGGCTGCATGCTCAGCCTCTCTTTAGTGCTCACTTGTGACATGTACATGCTCAGTAAAGTGACRTTCTCCACTGTGCAGCATCTTCCCTTTGATTGGTGTCAGAAAAGAATAACAAAAAAAGAAGGGAAACTGAGTTGGAAAAGTTAAAAGGAAAGGTAAGTGGGTACAAACAAGGGAACCTCAACAAGAGAGGAGGGTACCATGAGAGAAGGAAGGAAGCAGGCATACAATTACTTCAAAAGTGAGCTACTGTTGGTAAAATTACCATTAAAGCAAGTGCTGTTTCTTTGATCTCTTTTCCCTTTAGTTGTAAAAGCTGGTTGTAAACATACTGTGTCCCTGTTTTGGAAATGGAAACCATTCAGAAGCAGAGAAACTAGTGGACTGCAGGTTCCACATCTCTGCATCCAACCAACAACTGATTGAAAGCATTTGAAAAGAAAAATCATGACTCTACTGCACATGTACAGAGTGTTTTTCCYTGTTATCATGATTCCTTAAAGAATATAGTAAATAATTATTTACATTGTATTAGGTATAAGTAATCTAGAGATGATTTAAAGTATATGGGAGGATTGTAGCTAAGTTAAATGCAAATACGACACTGTTTTATAGGGACGTGAGCACCCCTGGGTTTTATTACTCTTAGGTGGGGTCTTAGAATCAATCTCTTGGGGATACTGGGGGTTGACTACATATAAAGACGAAAATAAAGGTGGGTACAGTCATTGCCTCGGTCACACGTTGGCACATGTTGTTCACGACATTTCCTACACTTGCTGTCTCACATTCACACGTCATTAAACACTCACATCATGGTATATATGATTTTTCTTTGAAAATATAGGGTGAGTTTCTTTCCTAATTGACAAATCAAGTGTTCCGGTCACTTCCATGACCAGTCTTATCGCTCAGAAGGCTGTTCCAGGCTCCATAGCAAATGTCCAGGSTCTCAGTGTTGTCAGTCTCCTTGTTCCATATAACCAGGGAAATAATGAGCCTGTCCTTTTCTCTTTTAGACAAATCTCACAGGAAGACAAAAACTGGGAGACCAATATTCAGGAGCTTCAAAAAAAGGTATCTCCTTTGCTTTCTTCAGATATTTCCAATTTGATTTACCTGTTTGTAGAAGAAAGTGATTGATGTTTCTTTTAAAAATGGATCATGATTTTAAATTTTTAATTGATACATTCTAATAGTAGGAGGTTGTGAGGTCCAAGGTGATGTCTGGACACCTGTGCACATTGTGCAGTGACGGAGTCAGAGTCATTAACTTATTCATCACCTCAGGCAGTTATCGTTTTTTGTGGGGAAACATTCCAAAATCTTCTTTTTACCTCACATGAAGAAATGACTGGAAGCCATTGTTCTTTTTATTCCTGCAGTTGTACATAAGATGTCATTTATTTCTACAAGTTAATGAGGAAAAACATTTTCCAGACATGACAGGAAATGGAAATGTCACAGTTTTCATGTCTGGGAAGATGTACTTCAGGCATACCCTTGAGCAATATCCTGAGTCTGGCCCACTGAGCGGGGCCTGCGGCTCACAGTCCCTCTCCTGGCCCTGAGAAGCAGGCTTCCAGATTGCCATTTTGCAGAGGAGCTGGCAGCCGAGACCATGTTGGGCAATACTGAACATCTTTAAGAACAAACACTGTGTGTGTGCGTGTGTCCTGCTGTACAAGTTTGACTTCTGGGGGGCAGAATTCATTTAAAAATATTTTGGGGGCTGGGGTTTGGCTCATGGTAGAGTGCTTGCCTTGCACATGTCAGGTACTGGGTTCAATCCTCAGCATCACAAAATAAATAAATAAATACATAAATAAATAAAATAATGATATTGTGTCCATCCACAACTAAAAATAAAAGAATCTAAAAACAATATTTTTTTTTTGCTCACTTTCCTGCTATGGTGGACTTCCTCCCCACCTGTGGACAGGTAGGGCTCCCTGCCAAGCCAAGAGCGTTCACAATCACTGTACCTCAGGGAAATTTCCAATCCAAGTCGGTTGTTTTCTAGGAAGAGGTTGGGTGCCCACTCTCTAATTGTGATAGGAATACTTGTGCTTAGTTAATACTTAGACATTGGGGTTCTGCTGGGTAGTGTATTCTTTAGGCAATTTGGTCTGTGGGCTCTCTTCACATTCTCTTTTCCATGTAGATGGTTAGTGTTAGAAAAGAAGGGTGTAGCTATGACCCTTTGAATACCCAGGGTTTTAAGACCTTGCTGCCTTGCTGGACGGCATTGCTTTTGTCCTGTGTACCTGGTGGACAAGAATTGAAGATTGATGGGAAAATAGGCCAGGGGCTTGGCAATATCCCTGTATTGCAAATGAGAATTCTTACTGAAATAATCCCAGATAGCCAAAAGGAGATTGACTCCCAGTAGAACACTCAAAAGAAACCTCCACCTCCACCATCTGAATGACATGGGAACAGTCTTTGAACGTGCCGCTCCTCCATCTCCCATCTTTGAATGGGCTGTGGTAGTACTAACTTTCTCTGGTTAGTGGGACTCAGGGAGGCTTTGTGGTGCCTCTCTGAAGCTGGTGAGGACCAGTGTTGCTCTCCTCTGAGCAATTTCTTTTTCTGATATCCCCTACCTCCTAATTCTTGATCACAGAGTCATGCAGCAAAATTGGGCTTCTTAGAAGTGGGAGGGGAAGATGAGAGGAGTAGGACATGATGTGGGCCTTTGCAGTGGGCAGGGGAAGAGGGCAGGTGCTCAACAGGCAGTCTCACCTCCTGAGTGAGGGCAGCACCTCTGGCCTGTGTCCAGGGGACCAGGGGCTGCAGCCAGAGATGCTGTCCATGAAGGGTGTGCTTGTGTTTTTGATGACAGCAGCTTTACCTGTGACCAGAGAAATTCAAAATCCTCTATCTGTACTTCTACCTCTCTMTATATATATCTTCATGTTTATATATATCTATATCTACATGTCTATATATATCGGAATCTATATTTATATGTCTATCTTATCTATCTATATCTATCCATATTTATAGATCTCTGTGCATATCTATTTCTATATGTCTATATCTATCTGTATCTAAATCTGGATATAAACATCTAAAACTATATCTATAAATATGTTGATATYCATAATAAGAGATGCCTACAGTTGGCCCTCTTTATCTGTGGGTTCTACATTTGTAGATGGAACCAAATCAAGATTGTAGGTATTTGAAAAGTATTGTGTCTGTATTAAACATGTACAGAATTTCCCCCCAATCATTAGCCCCTAAACAATACAGTGTAACAACTATTTACATAACATTTATATTGTGTTAGGTTTTATAATTAATCTAGAGATGGTTTAAAGTATGTGGAAGAGTGTGTGAAGGTTTTGTGCACATAAAGGACTTGAGCATGGAAGATTTTGGTATCTCTGGGTCCTGAAACCCATCGCTCATGGATATCAAGGGATGCCTATAAATCTATCTAAATCCAGATGTATGTTAGACAGCGGTACAGATGTGCTGGGCCATTCTTAAGAAAGGACCCTGTGTGGTTTTCAGTTCACACCTGGTTTCACACATGGGACCGAGTTAGCAGTACAGGCTGACCTGGTGCCCACCTCACATGCTCCTCATTCCTGACCCCACAAAGCCATGGCCCATATAACTCAATACCTCTCAGGGATCATAGGAAAGAACACCCCAACTGCTTTATGGTTCTGAGGTTAATGAAGTCACTACAGAGAACCGTGTGCTATAAACCCCTGGAAGACAGGGCAGATCCCTCCRGTGTCATCCCACGGATAAGGGGCAACACCTGTATTCCACAGACCTTGTAAGTGTTACATGAATGAACACAGCAAAGCCTTATGCAGGAGTTATAGTATTTCAAGAACATGTTAAGCTTATTGCCATGAGCTTTGAATAAAAAAAAAAAGAAAGTCAAGCTAAAACACAGGGACCACACAGGCATCTGGGGGAATGTATTTGATAGGGCAAGGTCCCTGGAGATTAGCTGTCATTTCCCCAATGGCTTTCTGTTGTCTCACCCAACACCTGGGTGGATACTTCTCATGACTGAATACTCACGTTATATTAAAAAGTTATGTAGTCCAGTGTTTGGTAAAAAGACTATACTGCAGATTGGTGGTGCTTATTTTTCCACAAAGATTTTGAATGCTGCAATCCAGAATCTTTTCAGTTCTTCCTGTAATGCATTGCCTTGTTATCTTCTTTCAAGTTCAAGATGTTTTATTTTTTCATCAGGAGACATTTGGAGTAATTCAAGTCACGCAGGATCATGGACACATTGCAGGAATCAGAAGATTGTACCAAGTAAATGAGTTGTGTTTTTCTCTCTCACAGCACAGGATCTCAGACAGGATTCTGCTTGTCAAATGCCTGATGGTGCTGGGATTTGTTATCTTTATGTTCTTTCTCAATTCATTTGTCCCTGGTATTCATCTTGATCTTGGTGAGTCTAATTTTTTTTTTTTTTTGCAAACTTTTGTTGATAGGCTTTGCAGTGGATATCGTGGTCTGAATGGGAAGGTTTCAAAGCATGTTCCCAGGTACCTACAAGCGGTTGTGGTAGTGAGGACGCCAGCCTTAACACTAGAAGGGATGTAGAGTTGGTACTGTCCTTTCTATCACACTTGGTAACCACATGTTGAAACAGTCCCCAGAGGAGACAGGCAAGCCAGTCCTGCCTTCCCTGCAGCTTGTCATGACAATTAAATAGGAAACTGTTAAAGTCCTGGAGAATTGCAAGAGCCTTGCACAGATTCACTCTCCTTGTCGGACTGAGAATCTATTTTACCCACGCAGCAAAACACATTTTCCCACTTCCTCCCTTTGTTTCTCTTTCCTCCTTTTGGCCAGACTTTAGCTCTTAGCTGACTCTCTCCAGCCCTATGTCAAGGCCTTCCCCATGGGTGCCAGGATTCTTTCAGGTTGGGCTTACCTTGGTAACTCCCAGAACCCCTCCACTTTCCATAAACTTTTTTATAGAGATCTCTTTTGGTGCAATTTTTTTTTTAAAAAAAACATCATTTTCATGGCAGTATAGATTTATGAAAATATAAATTTGAGATGGTTCAGGGAGTGTTTTTAAATCAAAGCTTTACCCATGGTTTTCCTTCAGAAATGAGCTCTGCTAGTATATTTGAGTCATATTATTTTTATCTTAATTCTTTAAAAATAAGAACTTAATCTTCTGCAACTTTTAAAGAATGTCACCTCGGTAGGAAGCAAAGATTGCTAACTGTAAAATAGATGGTTAATGCAACTTTAATGTCATAGTTTGGATGTGAGATGTCTCCCGAAAAACTCACATGTGAGACAAGAAGGTTCAGAGGAGAAATGATTGGGTTGTGAGAATCAACCCAATCAGTGAGTTAATGCCCTGAAAGTGATTGAGTGGTAACTGAAGTGGTAGGGTGTGGCTGGAGGAGGTGGGAATTGGGGCGTGGCTTTGCGTGTATTTATGTTTCTGGCAAGTGGAGTCTCTCTGCTTCTTGATGATGTGAGCTGCTCCCCGCCCCCCCCCCGCCCCCCCACCATACTCTCCTGCCATGATGTCCTGCTTCATCTTAAACCTCCAGGAATGGAGCTGGCCTTCTATGGACTAAGACCTCTGAAACCGTGAGCCCTCAAATAAACTTTTCCTCCTCTACAATTGTTCTGGTTGGGTCTTTTAGTCACAACAGCAAAAAAGCTGACTAAAACATTTAGTTATTCCCGTCACATCATTGCTTCTTGGGCTCCTGGGTACACTAGAAATCTTTAGGTTGTAAGTGGGTTTCCCCTGTTTTCTGTAAAAGAGCCATGTTCAGACTCTCAGACTTAGCACATGGTGCACATGCATTTGGCTCAGTGTCCAGCTCTACATCACGTGTCCACGAGCCCTTGCAATTGATTTCCCTAAATAAACTCAGACCCAACTTGTCAGGTGGCCTGGGCTTGGTTCCGAGCCCACAGGTGTTCTTTGTCCACACCTGACAGCTGATCCACGCAGGGTCTCAATGAGGTCTTTAGAATGCCAGAGCTAGGGTGGGAACAGTGTCATGAATTTCAGTTGGTTTTTTTTTTTGATGAATTTTATCTAGAAATTGTTTCAGTGTAATTACTTTTAATTATACCCAAGGCATAATATAATTTTGACTTTATAAACCTTTAATCGCCACAAGAATGTTAAGTGGTCACCACTGGTAATTAAACAAATTCAATGAAACTGGTGTTTCCAGAGCAGAGGAGTTCCATTAGTGAATTCTTTTGGGTGTTCTCAGATTATTTTGTTTCTAATTTTACTTGAGATTCTTCTTGAAATGAGCACAGCAGGCATTTGAAAAATAAAAGTATATGAAAACTTACATGCAATTTTGTTAGCTTTTGACAATAGTCTTTGTGCACAGGATAATACTTTTAAAGTTTAAAATTGCATCTTTATATATAAAGATCTCACTTGAAAAAAAAAATCTTGATTAATGTGAAACTTTTCTTTTTACCCTGGGAAGTTCACCCTTTTTACAAAGATATCTCTACTCTTTTTGTGTGGTTAAAGTCTGTGATTGAGAGAATTATTTCTTTTTGCTTTTAAATCTAGTTTTGTTTTCAGTTAGAGTTTATGTATAKATAATTTTATCTGGGGATCCTGGGATACATAATCCACGTATTTACTTCTTTATTATGATAGTTAGGTTGAGAAAGAGAGAAGTTTGATTGACATATGTTTTAACAGAGTATAATTTCCTTAGAGTGATAGAAACTCTCCTGATAAAGATAGGGGCAAAAGAGATGCCAGATATTCCCAGGTTTTCAGCCAGTAAAGAATGTGATCATTTATCTTTGGTGAAGTTCTGTTTTGAATGTGACCTGCTTTGTGAATTGAGCATGATGCAATGTAATGTGATGTTGTTATAGGAGGTGACATCCTGTTACACTAAGTACCATACAACAAGTTGATGTTATGTGACTATCATTGTGCAACTCAGTGCAGCACATATAATACAACAGTATATAGCATAAAGCAATGTCATAGAGCATGATGTGTATCACATGATGTGTTATGTGACCTAAGACAAAGTGATGCTGTACCACACAATGTGTATCATGCAACACAATACAGCATCCTCTAGTACAGTGCTTGCCACATTGCACAATGCAATATTGTGAAATGCCATGCATGTAATCCAAAGTGACATCATATAAACAGGTGCACTATGTAGCAAAATGTGACATCATAGAACACATGCATTCCTTCATTTAGGAATCATAATGTAAGCACAACTTTGACTCTTAATTTTTAATTCTTAAAAAATTGTTGTAAAGCAAAATCAACTTTTCCTCTGGTGTAAAGTTCTACGAGTTTTGACACTTATGTAGATTTATATAACAACAAATGCCATCAGGACACAGTGACCAGAAAACCCTCCCCAGGCTCTCCTTTTGTAGCCACTCCCTGTGCCTCATCCCATCTGCAAAGGATCTGCTCTCTATCACTGTAGTTTGTCCTGTTGAGAACACGCACATGGAATCAGACTGTATACACACTTTGAGACTGGCTTCTCCCACCTGGCTTAATGCCTGTCAGATTTAGCCAAGCTCTGTACATCAACGGTTTGCTCCTTATGTAGCTGAGTGGTGGTTCATGGTAAGCAAGTACCAGGGTTTATGTATCTATTCACCCACTGAGGGACATTTGGGATGTTTTCAGTTTTTAGCAATTGTGAATAGAGCTGATGCAGACATGTGAACTCACAGTTTTGTGTGAACTTGCTTTTCCATTCTCTTGGGTAACTATCTGGGAGTGAGAACGCTGGGTCATTTGGTGGGTGTATGTTTAACTTTGTTGGGAATTGTTTCCAGAGTGGCACCTGGCTTTGCCTTCCCACAGGAATGAATGGGAGTTCCAGTGGCTCCACATCTCCACTTGGTACAACGGAGCTCACTCCCCTGGAGTTCCACAGCACACATACCTGCCTTATACATGGAGCCTATCTGTTATCCTAGTGATGAATTTACTTCTCTGTCCCCTGAGCTCCTGCTCTCAATGAAACTTGAGGATGTGGTCCATATCTTCTATATTTCCCTCTCTCAGTGCCTTGGGTTAATGTCTAACACACCAGTAGCTACAGGGAAACATTTATAGAATGCATGAACAAAAATCTCTCATGGAGTCTAATAGATTCAACTTCATTATTGTGAGAATTAACTATGTGGATGACTCAGCCTAGGTACTTCAGACAGTAGAGGACAAGATAGAGGCTGATGTGCGAGATTTCTCGCTGGGAATTCTGATCCCAGGGAAGAGAACTGAGGAGTAGGGAGACAGATTAGCAAAGGGAGTAAGCCATCAGGAGCCACTGGTTTCTCCATCTCATCAGATTGAGAATAAGTATAAAAAGGTACCCCAGGACTATATAGGGTTGAAGGAGAAAGGACTATTACTCATTGGTCCCCATTGCCCGGTGGTCAAAGTTCCTCCCCATAAGGTGCCAATTTGCAGATACACTCAACTGGCATGTTCTGAGGGCTTGGCAGCAGCCCCAGCAGAGAAGCATCAGCTAGGAGGGAGGTGTTGGTACTTGGACTCCAGAGAAGACCCTGTTAGTGTGCACAGTGTGAGGATGGTGGGTCCACACAGAGCCAGTCACACAGACTGTGTGTGAGAAACAGGAGAGCCCTTAGGGACCCAAAGGCAGGCCAGGGGTTCACAACAGTAAAGAAAAGAGATGTGAATCTGGACCATGGGTACAATTCACATCTACATGGCCAAGGAGTCCCACGTGCAGGAATCATCACCTCATAAAACAGGTTCTTCCACAAAGGTCCACTGTCCCTATATGAAACCCTTGGTGCCAGAAATGTTTCAAAATTCAAATATTTTGTTTATGTTTTAGAAATACAATTCAGTGCACATACTGAATTGTATATAGGGTGAGCATCATTGTTCAGAAAATCTGAAATGCTTCAAAGTCAGAAAAAATTTTCAGTATTGACACAATGCCACAAGTGGAAAATTCTACTCCTGACCTCACGTGAAGGGTGGCAGTCAAAGTGCAGGTGCGCTCAAATTAGTGTTTAAAATGATCTTTAGGTTCTGTGCATAAGAAGGACATAAACCCAATTTCATTAGACTTGGGTTCCATCCATAAGATATCTAATTATATATAATATAAATATTCCCAAATTGAAAAAAATTCCAAATCTGAAACATTTGGTCCCAGCATTTTGGGTAAGGGATTCTCAACTTCATGTAATACCTCCTGAGACATTTAGGGCTGGCACCTGTCATCCAAGCATTAAGGTTTCTGTTAAAAAAAAAAAACTTGAATATTTACACAAAGTGTGATAAAGACCACAAATAGCTTTGTTTTGGTTCAAGTCAGGTTGTGTTGAATTTTGGTCTAAAAGTTTGAAGAATTTCTGCTTTTCTGAACTTTAGGATTTCAGAGTTATGGTTGATTGTGAACT